TATGCAACAAATTTTGTTATGCCTTTTCAGTTATTAACAGTTAACCTTTTAACTGAGGAAGGCCCTTATTTTCTGACTACTTCATATTTCCGATTATTTTTTTTTCAATTTGATGATATTCTTTGATTATTTTTTTAAGGCTCTTATAAACTCCATTATATGAACCCATATCCTTTTACATTGGAAACACTGCTTAAATTTTTATGTACTGCAACGGCCATCCCACTCTGAACAAGCCCAATCCTGTATGATCTCAGAAGCTAAGCAGGGTTGGGCCTGGTTAGTACTTGGATGGGAGTCCACCTAGGAATACCAGGTGCTACAGACGTAAAAAATAAAATATAAAAAAAATAAAAGATAAAGGATTGTAAGCTGATTGTAAGGTCCTTGCAATCTGTGAGGTTGACCAAGGGTTGCCTCGCTTAAAAAAATTTTTTTACTAAAATTTTTATGTGCCGATTTAGGTTACTTATATTTGTAGTTTTATAAAGAAATAGTACAAGTGAATGAAAACCTAGGTTAGTAGAGTGTTAACAGGCTCCAAAGTAAACTTTTTAGGAAAGAGCTCAGAGGGCTGTGGAAGAAACAAAGGACAGGATTGATTAGAAACCTACCAGGAGTAAATGATCATGTTACAATGTGGTATTGGAGACAAATAACTAATAAGACACGTACCCTCGTGTCATCCAGAATTAGCCAACTAAAACATTAACACATAACTTGGGGGTTATAACATACTGAGAAAGCATGTAAACATGAAAAAGAATGATGACTGATAGTAAGCCTGGTGGATTATTCCTGGATTCTAGAAAAAGAGCTAGAAATTAAAAATCTCTTACTTTTCAACTCTTGTCACTTTTCTACAGAAAGACTATGTTTAGTAGGTATAATTACTTTGTTCTCATGAGTCCTCGGAGGCAGAGCCCAACTGAAGTGAGTCTAGCTGACCCGGCCTTCCCACCAGCTAAACAGGCATGGCTCACGTCATCCAACCCTCACTGCCTTACTCCCGTGCTCACTAAGAAATTCTTCTTTCCAATTTAGCTTACCAGCTCAATTACATTAGGAAGAGGTTTCAACTGTATTTCTGACACTAGAAATTGAAAAATTACTTTTTAAAATGTAAATGTATATAGCTAGATATCTTGAGGTTTGAGCATGCTTTGGTGAGATAAATCTAGATTCAACTTTAAAAAGTGAGACCAGCGCTTCCAAACAAATGTGACAAGAAAGCGTTGTAGGTATGATGAGCTACTGATCCCTTCAACTCCCAGAGATGGCTGGAACCCCGTCAATCTACCAGCAAAGTTCATTTGCCCTGGTGCGCCATATAAATATACTTTTCTAGGTGTGTTATGATGTGAAAAATGGTGGGAGGTACAGAGTTAGGACATGATCCTGTGGTAATGCTACCCTGGGGTGGCATTCTGTGTCATTTGCCTGAATACATCCAATTGTATTCATTATATTATATATTACAGATAACTGCTAAATCCATTTTTGATGAAATTATAAACTTTTCCTCATGAGTAATGAGAAAAACTGTTTTTATAACCCATTTACTTAAAAAAAATTTAAAAAATTATGATAATATACACATAACATAAAATTTACCATCTTAACCATTTTAAGAGTCCAGTCCAGTGACATAAGCACTTTCGCACTATGCTACCATCACTACCATCCAACCACAGAACTCTTTTCACCTTGCATAACTGAAACTCTGTACCCATTAAACGATAACTCCCCTTTCCCCTAGTCCCTGGAGACCATCATTCTGCTTTCTGCCTCTATGAATTTGACTATCCTACGTATATCTTACCTACTGTATTCCTCTTTTTCTAAGGGAAAGTGTTAGTGAATGGTGAAATGGCTGAAGTTAGGCAAAAGAGTGTAGTAAAAAGAGAAAAAAAGCCCAGATATAGAAAATACATATTATCCTATCTATTCATGAATAATGAAAAGGAGCAAAAATCAGAAAATATTTTGTGAGCATTATACTTTCTCAGCCTTTGGAATTTCTTACTCTTTAACCCTCATTGTCACCTGTCAAACTCCTAGATATTCCTCAAGGTCAACCTCAAATACTTTCTTGTTCCAGAAGCCATTCAGTATCACAGCATCTATCTTTCTTTGAATTTCCATAGTAGTTTGTATTTCCTTTAAAGAACTCCACTTGATCTCATCTTATACCATTGTTATTTACTTATCCTTGATCCTGGAGGAGAAGCATCTTTAAAGCTGACTCTGTATCTTAATGAGCAGATATTCTATAATGTTTAGCACAGGTTCTTGCATATAATCAATATATACTTGTCGAACTGAATTTTTATCTTTAGCAAACATTTATTGACTATCTGCTTTGTTCATGTGCTGTGCAAGACAAAGGAAATATAGCTTCTGTCCTTCAAGCACTGACATTCTATGGTTTAAACTAGTCTCTGTTGGTGCATTAAATGCCTAAAAAACAACTTGGCCAAATCTGTAATTTCAATGGCCAGAGTTTTTCCATAAAATGCACCTTTTGGGGTTGCCTTCATATATAAATATGACATGAGTACTGCAAAAGTCATATGACTATAAAAGTATGTAAGGAAAAATGTCTCACGCTCTTATTCCTCCTCCTTTATTATCATAGTTCTACTTCCACTCCATTGTCCAGTTAACAGTAGTTTTGTGCTTTCTTCATATTTTTAATGCATATATAAACATGTATCCATCTATCCACCCATTGTTAAATTTAATATCAAGGAAAATACTAACAGCAAATAATTCAGCCAAAGGATTTGGAGGTAAATTAGCAATGTTTCCATTTCAGCTATAAAACCATACGATTATGAAATGATTATATGTTATTTTCAAACATTTGCATTATAAATTCCTAATTAGCAAGATTAGAGAAGATTTAAGGAAAATACTGTTATGGAAAATTGAAAAGATTCAAAATAATAACTAAAAATTATGATGCCATTAGAGAATCATAGCATGTTAGTAAAAAAGAAGTCTGGACCTCATTTCATATAAATTTCCTAATTTTACAGAGAAGAACCAGCACTGAGCACTTAAATGACTTGTCCCAGGTGACCCAGTCAGTTCACATGTCTAATTCTGCATTATTAGCACATAGTCTTCACTTGACTGGTTTACAGTATTATCTCTCAGTTTTCATTAGGACATAGCTGAACTCATGCCTCTGAAAAATCTTCTCTTATGCAAGATATAGTTTATTGTAGGAGAAAATATAGATATGCATAAAGAAGGGCATAAAACCTATCCAATTAATACTTTATATTTTGAATCTTCATATTTTTATTCTCACTGCATAATATCGTGAGGTACTGGAGAAATCTTACTATTACTTATGTACTGGTTACAATCAGGATTTTAGGATATCAGAATCAGGTTACCAAGCTAAGAAATGTTCGATGTTAGGGTAAGAAAGAATAGTTCATTGCTTGGAACAGAGAAAGGTCAGAAAAGCAGATCAGAAAGTGTGATAGGCTTTAAGTCTTTGGCTGTTATCTTGTGGTTTCCATCTGACTTTATGTTTCCCATTAACATCTATGTATTCTGTCTGCTCTCTTCCTGCAGATTATAATAGACATATCATAGTGTTTGCCATAATTTCAGCCCACTTTCAGAGGAAAACTTACTCAAGGTCCTTCCGAATAAACAGCCCTAGGCAGCTTCATTTGGTAACATGTGACCCCTGCTTGCTAATAAGGGAGCCATTCAGCAGGCTGGCTAATAACCTTCACAAGTCTTGCCATAAAGGGGTATCACCCAACAAGGATGAGCTATACCAATTACATTCTTGCTCGTGGGGAACACAATAAGAACTAGATTATAAGAGATGTGGGAAGAATGCAGAGAAACATGTCTCAAGACAAGGGGCCGTGAGCAAGTTGATGAGGAAGTGGAAACTATGAGTAAGCAGAAACTAGGAGAGAAACAAAGAGGAGGTGATATACCACTACAGGAAAAAAATCCATGGACTCTGCTGCAGAAATCCATATAGTGGCCTTGTCCCCAGGCTGGTCAATCTAGGCTTCCTGTTTTCTCCATCCTGTCAGCTTAGTCTCCATTACTGCCACATAGATCCTTACGACAATTATCCTTTTCTTATTTCATCTAGATTGTAACATTGTCATTTTTTTAAAAGGTTGAACTGTGTAATCTCACTGATCTTGAGTAGCATTATCTGAATGTATAATGAAATAGTTTAGATCTGAAGCTCCCATATGTGACCGATTATTATAATCATCTAGGGAGTTTTAAAAAAATTAAGATTCTGGGGACTCACTGAATCAGAATATGGCAGAGAAAATCTTTCTGGTTTTGAGTGTGTCTATGTTCAGATGGTAAAAATCATGTTTCTTCTAAGAAATTAAAGCATGGATGAGAAACCATGTTAAAGTACAGTGAAATATTTAATGTCACTCCTATTTTGATTTTGTTGTCTTTTTATTGTTATTATATTTGTTAAAACAAATTTTTCAAATTTTCCTAATTTCTTGTTCTTTAATTACTTTCTGTGTACACACATTTTTACCTAAAAAAGCAATTCATTTAATGTTAATATGATTGGTTTTATACTTTATGAGAAAACTTTTAGAATATACTATTTTACAAATAAAAGAGGGCAGGTGATATTTTGCATCCCTTTTATTTCTATAAAACTCAAAATTTATATAAAATGTCTTTCTGATTGCCCTATAATTAGTCCTGGGAGACTGGAGGAGGTAAATGCTAGATTAAGGCTAATTTCTAGGCAAAGTCCATTATGTTAACTAAAAATATAAAACCCAACTATCAGCTGTAAAGATAGGTTTTATGTATATACATTCAGAAAACAGATTAATACAGATATTTCCAGGCCCTTCCATTAAACTATTAAAATTTGTTTAAAACCAATATGAATGAGAGGAAAGAAATTCAAGTAAACCATTTAGTGAAAATCAGAGAGATTAAAATTCTTAGGCTTTTTTTTTTGTACTTACAAAGAGTGTTGGTTTGGGTATAAATATATTGTCTTCACGTTCTGTAGGCACATTCAAAGTCTTTGATTTCTGATTTTCCGTCATATTTTTTGATTCCGTTTTAGTAAGAAGTAATGTGTCCTCAGAACGTTTATTGCGCATATTAGTGACAATCTGTTTCATTGCTGCCAATTCCTGTTATTATATGAAAATAGAAGAAAACAGCAAGTATGATTTTAGTAAGTAGACTAATACTGATTGATGTTAAAGCATGTATTTTTATTCTTGAAGTAGAAGAAACATTTGAAGCAATATAAGAGATGAGGAAAGTTGTGAAAATAACATATTAATGAACAATTATGACATATGAATCTCACAGTCACTAATAGTTTTAGTATGATAAATGATACATATATCATTCTATAGTCTAATGGTTCCTCAAATTTTCTGCACATTGGAATCACCTGTGGAGCTTCTAAAACTACTGGTGCCTGTGTCCCACCCCCAGAGATTGTGAGATAACTGTGCTGAGGTGTGGCCTTGGCTTTAGAAATTTTAAAAGATCTCCAGGTGATTTTAAGGGAGAGACAAATCTAGGAACCACTGGCATAGTTACTTTCCACTATAATATTTCTACACGTTTGTCAAGTCGATTATTTAGGCATTTAACTTTTTCTTTTCTACCTCGTAACCTACCCATTTCCTTTTGAAATCTTATATGAAGATGGCAGGGGAAAAAAAAAGTCCAAAAGTTTTTTTTGGTTACTAACCATCAATTCAAACTGTAAGTTTAATACAGCTTCGGGATTTCTTTAACCGTGTTATTCCCTATTCTTTTACAAATGAAAACAAGACTTAGCTTTATCCAGTTTCTGTCTGAACTAAGAATTATTATGCTGAACTTCTTGAAGAACTCAGATAAAAATTTTCATTCATTTCTTTCTCCAAGTCTATTTTGTCTTATTTTTTCCCATAGTCAAACCAGTACAACCTATCGCTATTTAGTGGATATTTTTGATTAATCACTAAATTAATTTAATCACACACAAGCACATGGAGAGAGGACAAACTAAGTTCTCCTTTACTTTATTATCTGTACAACAGTGGTAGGCTGTGTTAGAAGTATTTTTTTCCTGTTATTTTATTTCATCTTCATGCCAAGACACAAAGTTATGGTGAGAGAAAGATGTTCTGCTTCCTTCTACTAATCTGTTTATAGACATCAGCTCTGTGTCAGAGCAAGTTCCTACAGGCCTTTTTTTTTTTTTTTTCTGGCTGTCATTAATTCTATTTAGAACCATCTAGCTTGAGTGGGTATTTTAAAACAGAGCTGTTGAGTTTAAGCCACAGAGCTTAATAAATCTTAGGGCCAGGAGAGGAGCTAGAAGAAATGGTACTAGAATCCTCTTTCTCCCTCTTGCAGTACTGGGGCTGGGGAGGCCAATGCAAATGAGAATGGCTATGCCTCAGATACTTGCCAATCTGATATATTATTATTTGAGCCTTTTAAGGCTCTATTTTTCCCTTCAAGATTATGTTATTTCATTTATATGCTCCCCTACAGTGAAATCTACAATCGCTGACTTAATGTTAAACATGTCTGGTGTTATGGTAGCTTTCAGTTCCTATTCTACTTACTACAATAAGTAGAAGGGAAAGGGCAGATGACAGTCTCTCAGTGTATCAAAAGAAAATTTTCTACCTGAAGGAATCTCTCCTTATGAGTAATAACTTTTATACCTTGGTATGAGGAGAAAAAATAATAGGAAAAAATATTTCTTTTCTGTAGATATGTAAGGTAAAGAGGATCATACTTGCTTGGGGAAGGGGACTGGGGGACAACAAGGATGAGAAAGGAGAAAAGGAAGGAGTTGTAGGTGTACTAGGCAGAGGACTTTGGCCCCTAAGTGCCCTCGTGGAGGCCATAATTTTGTTTCTTTTCGGTTTCCCTCTGCTACTGGTATAGGAGCAGTTACAGGAAACAGATCATCCCTGATGCTGGTTAGGAGGCAGAAGGGAAATTCATGGGGCTTTGCTTTATCCAACACCCTCAACTTAGGGTGTTGTCAAAGTACTGCTTTTATTCACTGACGGTATTAAATAATGTTACTACGGTTTTGGAAATCTAGGTAAGGAACACTTTAAAAGCAACGGAATTCATAAAATTCCTATTAGGATAATAAAGCTACAATGGATATAAATAAGATGCAGAACAATTTTCTTCAGTTTTATTGTCTGATCATTAGATGATCCCTTTCATATCAATGGTAAAGTTGAGTAAAGAAAATTCTACTTTAACATCAAATAGTATTCAAGATACCATTATATATTGAACACACGGAAAGCCAAGCACATGTAGTGGGAATATTTTAATATTAGGTTAGAAGTCAGATACATCTATTCCTATTAGTAATTGTGTAAATTTAGGCTTAATCTATTCTGGTTCAATGACCTTTAGTTTCCTAATTGATAAAATATATATTTGTGCTACCTCTTAGGATTTTTGCCAGTCTGAGAAGTGTTTGGGTATGTTTATTCTGCATTTCTTCTACTGTGGGATTGAGAAGCTTTTCATATCAATAAGGGTAGTTCCTTTTCTGTTACTATCCTGGACCTATTTTTCCTACAGGGTGATTGGTCATTTTCTTATACATTTCAAGGAGCTCTTCATATGTTAGAGATATTAGCCCTTTGTAAAATGAATGACAGGTTATTTTTCCCATTAATTTTTGTTTGACTCTGTTCACACTTTTTTTTTTTTTTTTGCTTTGTACTTTCTGATTCTGATGCAGCTGAATAGGTCAATCTTTAATTTTATGGGCTTCTCTCCGTGGTTTCTTCTTCCATTTTCCTCAAGTTACTTTTATGGTTTCTTTTTCTTTTCTTTTTCAAACATTTAGATCTTTCATCTGTTTGAAGTTTATCCTGGCTTATGGTAATAGGTGTGAATTCAACATCTTTTTTCCCCATGGCTATTATGTAATAACAACATTATGTACCACAGAGATAATTTTTTCCTCACCAATTTGAGATGCTATCTTCATCATATACTAAACTTCCATAAGTGTATGATTTATTTTTAGATTAAACTCTATTCCAATGGTCTATTTATTCATGTACCTATGTCATACTGTTTTAATGTTTAATAACTAAGGTATTTTTTGGGCTATATTCTTAGGGATAGGGGTGGGATTTTGCTCTGTGTGTGTGTATGTATGTATACATATACATACACATACACATACGTAGGAAGACCTTTTATAATGTTGAGTCTTCCTAACCATGAAGATACTTTAATATATCTCTCGCCTCCATTTTTAGCATAAATTTTCCTGCTCTAATTGCCCTAATGAAATGGTTGTGATTCACAAGATCCCAATTCAAAAAGTGACAAAACAAACAAAAATAAATAAACCACCATAACATACAAGAACTAGAAAACACATTTACCACTACTAAACAGAATCCTCTGGTAAGATGAAGTCATCTTGAAATCTGGTTCGTTCCTAACCTGGTTTAGTTCTTACCATGTTCTTGTCTGGCTCCTGATTGCTGGTTCCATCTCCTATTTAAGATTCTGTTCCTATTATTTGGACTTGACTTTTACATTTCACTTTCCTAGCTTTTCATTCTGCTGTCCTCTGCTCTGTAACTGTCCTTTTCTGATTGGTCAGTAGGATTATTTGTAGTAATGTCTAATGATTTATAAATATTGTTCACTGCAGAGCAGAGAGAGTGATTAGATTCACAGAAAAGGAACCGCTAATGTTCAAAGGACGGTGTTTCAAATACCAAGTTCAACTGGATTCTTTTTCTTACATTGCACCTATTGCTCAAAATCATGCCACTTACTGCGATTTCTATTTTAACCTCGACTTTCTTACAGAATTATTCCTTTTTCTTCTTTGAGTCCTGCTTTTTTTTCCTTGGTTGATAGAAACAATATATACCTCTTAAAAAATATTACCTAAGATTACCTAGCTTCCTTATCATGTTTGCTAGAATCAATTTTGTGCTGTTTTTAAGAATGATGTACACTTGTTATTCTGAAATTCTTTTCTATTCCACATCTTGACAAGTTTTATTACTTCTTAAATCTCTCTCTCTCTGTTTTGATGGCATACAATCTAGTAAGTTTCTTAGGGGGTATTGCGGTAGTATGTGCTTTCCTTCAGAATTTTGATGGTATTATCTCTGTCTTCTAAAGTTAAATTTCTGAGGACTATTACACCAAGCTGATTATTTGTACATATTTTCTTTCTCGCTGGAATCTTCTATGTTGTTTAGCTGTACCCTTTTAATTTCATCTTTTAACCTTTTTCTGAGTTTCAGGAGAGTTCGTTACTTTTCCTCACATCCCTCTACTGGCATTTTTACTGATAATAACTTCATGATTTTGATTTTAACAATTTCTAAACTATCACAATTTTTTCGTCGACTGTTTCTATTTTATAAAAAGACTATTTTCTCAAACCTTTCTGAAGAAACTAATTACAATACTTAATTAGTTAAGAACTATTAATTTTCTTCCAGTTTCTGATGGTCTTTGGTTGTGTGTTCCAACTTATGAACAAAGAGCAGATTAAATGTTTTCTTTCTGTTGTTATGGGCCATTCATAACAACAGAATGAGAGAGTGGAGTACAATATCTGTACAGGTAGATGAGAAAATCTGTCTAACAGATTTTCCTCTAGGGTCCTCAGGTAGAAAGTAGGCTCTTTTCCTCAAAATGACAAAATGTGCAGGGTCTTAATCTGGAGCCCCTTCATTTTGAACAGTTCTAGCCTATTCCTAGCAAATTTTCCATTACTTTAGAAACCATTTAAAAAAAAATATTTTTAAATTCTTTTTTTTTTTTTAGATTATAGAATTACTGGTTTATTTTAAAATTCAAATACTGGAAAAGTGCCATGCCCCAATCTTCTTTATCCTTTGACCACTTTTTGAGACCTTTAAATACTATTCTATAACATAGTCTAATTTATATTCATTAATTCTGATGTGACTTCATATTCATTTTCAAAAAGCTAATAGTATAAATGACATAATTCTAGTATATCAAATACATAAGAAAATTACAGTAACTTCACGAATGAATGAACCATTTATTAAAATTAATAAATGTAGAATTATGTCTGATCATATAATTAAGACTTAGGATAAAACCAAACCAAACAATAATAACCACATTGCAG